CTTCATAACGACGACGACAAGGTAGTAACAACAAGCAGGTCGGCGGCGACTCCAGTCTTACAATATACCAAGTGCTGCGTCCATCTCGACAAGCACCGGCCTACACAAGAAAATGATAACAAAATAAGCAGTCCACCAGAGGAGCACAAAACATGTCCTTTTTCTAGCCCTCCCAAAAGCCAGTCAGTAATAATACGATTAAACTATTACTACTATCAATTCTACGGATACTTAAAACCAGTGTGGCAAATCATACACATGGTCAACTACATGTGCTGGTGCGAATATAAAAATTCTGAAAATTTCATATTGGTTTCTGTAGACTTCTCCCCGAATCCCTACATGAACTCCTATAGTAAGTGAGAAAACTCCTGAGCTCACCGCGAACATATACTCCAACGCTCCTTAAAACTTACTTCGCCAAATTCTGCCAAGTCTCCTCATCTACACTGCTCATGTGAACCACCTGACCGTCGTATTTGCGACCCTTCATGCCGTTCATACAAGCCTCAGCACCTGACCGCCAAAAAAGATATTTCCCATTTAGAGTGAGAAAATATTCACATTGTCAACTACATGTGGAAAATCTGAGAAAATTTGGCAAAATTTCTAATACTTATACGAATTCGGCTACAGAAATTCCCCGAAATTTTCGCCCTATGTCCATATTGTCACCAACACATGTAGTTGACCATGTGCGTACTTCCCCAAAATACGTACCACCGAGATCTGAGTACTCCAAGCACACATCTCCAGCAGCGAGTACCAACCCTTGCGTAGAAGGATCCTGAAAATCATCAACGATTGGCTCCATGCCGCACAAGCTAGTAGCCTTACATGGACATCAGCCGATGCAATATATACCGCGTCGAGCTTGCCAAAGTCACCGCAGCCGCCCTTCATATCTTCAATTACGTCGGTGTACTCATCCTTGGTAGTGTTAGGGCCAACTCTGACGATCTAACACCAAGCTCCATACTAGGAAAAACTACCAACGACCTCACCTGCGCGAACCGCACAATGCGGCTAGTTGCCTGGCCACCGAGGTTGCCGACAGCACCTGATATGGGATGCATCACGACTACTACGATATGAAAAACACTAGCGAAAAATATCTCACAAACGACTGCATAGCGCGAATATCGGCTTTTTCATAGACTATTACGCCACTTCACGTAAAACCGGTAAAACTCAACTGAGCAAGGTGAACTACGACCGATGTGAAGATAGAGTCTCATTCCTAGTGAACCAACGCGTCCTAGATCAACTCTACAGCGCTACAC